CGCTAAAGAGAGCTTCATCAAGTGATCCTGTATGCTGCCTTTTAGGTAGAACGTTCTGTTTTCATATCTTTGTTTGCTATAGGTCCTTCTTTACTTCTGCATCTCTTTTCATTTCTATATGTTGGTTGCACAAAATGTCCTAGGGCACTAAGGCACTTCCCCAAAGTGACGGACGTTATCAGGAAAGCGGCCATTAGGAACAAAGTCGATTTGATGATCTGGAGACTATCACTTCTACCTACTTCACAATGCTAGAAGTGCAATAAGAATATTTTCTATCCATAACTAAAGCACAGTGTCTGTGTGTACATATATGTATGTTCCCTCTGCAATTTAGTTTATCAACTGATTTGGATCACACTTAATTGATTCTTCCCAACTTCCGCTCTAGATTGCTGAAGACGCAAAAGCTCCTGCAAAAACTTTTATAGTTCGAATTCTTCATTACTTCTTCTTCTCCTAGATGAATGGAATAAGCTTTAGTCCTGTCCCAAAGCCAAGAAAATGTGAACCACTTTGTCGCATATATATAAAGATTTTACTTGCGTGCACTTCTTGACAGCTGCATATGGTTTTTCTCTAAGATGGCCATGATTTAGAAGATCAAAAAGACTATCAGCTAATTTTTTTTCTTTCTATTCACAATCAACGTCGAAAATGTAGATGGATGGAAAGGCAAGATTGAAAGAGTTGTATAGTTTAGTTAACAACTCGCGTTCTGGAATGTATAGGTGCAGAACGATTTATATTGGTAACTGGTATAGTAATTTATGGTTTCAATTTTTCTAAAATGATTTAGATTGAGTGTAGACAATGCTGGTATCTCTGTCCTATCCTGTCCTCGCATTTTGGCCGACTGTTGTATAAATACCAAAATTTAGCACTTGTCAAATATTGTAACAAGAATAAAGGGGAAGAGTCGAGTAATTAGCGCTTCCCGTTTACCTCATTTCGGTAAATTTGCACGAAGTATTCCTTTCTAAACATAATTTTTGCCTAGCATTCCAGCGAACTCCCCTTTGAGGATATGCCTTAGAGTGGCTGAAAAGCACCCGAGTTTTTGTACGAATTTCAATGAAAGCTATGGCATTCTCGGCACGATGCGCTCTAAAGCGCGACGGGTGTAAATGTGAGCAAGAGTCACCGTTTGAGCGGAGAAGGGTAAGCTCCATGAAGGCAGCTTCCCAAGAACGATGTTGGAGCTCTCACTGGCGATAGGACAACTAGCAGATACTGAGTGATCCAATTATGAGCTTGTTGACATCGGAAAGAAAACCCTTCAAATCGTCGCTGCATTGCAGTACAATCCAATTAAAGGAAGAAGAAATGATGAGTCCTGATACACTATACGATAGGATATAAAACTGTTTGGAGCGGACTTCGAAGGTCTTCTGGAAGAAGACGAATTAGTGCTTGAAATTGTCAAAGAAAAGCAATACAGGAAAGTAAATAAGGCAAAAATATTCTCGATTCGGACTGAGCGACCCTGGCAAACTCGTGGTTGTATATCAAGAAGCGTTTACACTAGATAATGAATTGTGGAAGAGACTGCTAAACGCGAACGAAATATTACTAAGCAGAACGCTACAGTGATCACAAATATATAGAGAATTG